TAAGCTCAGAAACAAAAGCTTAGAGAATGAGTCGCTAGAGAAAAGGCAAAATCTTAAGTGCAACCATACTTTAGTTTTTTCTTGTGAATCAATGAGAAGCTTAGGCCACGCATTATTCGCCAAATAATAAAACTCCACCTGTTTGTTGACATGACCTTAATAATCGAGATTTTTATTGATTTTGAGCTTATGGGATTTCTGTACTTCGAAAATATACTTTTTTAAAGTTCTTTACCCATCAGTGGTGCGGGAATGTTGTCGTTGTCTACCAGAGCAATGTCCGAAGGAGTTTAGAGCAGGCAAAAGAATGCGCAATTATCATCAGAATTGCAATAGTTGAATATTTTATTAAACGCTTAGTATACTAGGCTTCGGCCAATTACGATCATTAGAATTCTCAACTTTCATACGGATATCTACTTTTACAATCTTAGAACTCTCAGATCATCCTTGGCTTATCCTGCCCTACTATGCAACTCTTCTGCAAAAGTCTTAATTGGGCATATATCAAACAAGTGCATTCTAGCGCCATAGCGCATAGAATTTCTCAGCTCTTCCATGAAACATGAGGATTACATCGCAGTTATCTATGTAAACATTTCGATCTCATTACTGTGTAAATATTACAGGATGACAAATGTTGAAATCTGACAATAATATTTGACTTAAAGAGTACGATATATTCTGTAAATTTTGGAAAAACAATGTAAGCTATGATATTTTTTGTTTCCTAAACATCCCCTTCAGCCACTTACAGACTATAGAAGATTGGAGAAACCTAGCAGTCTTCTTACAGAGCCCATTCCCCTTCCATATAGTACTGGATCGCTGGGTAACAGTAATAGCATCCTACCGCGCGGAGAGGGTATGACTTCCATATACATTTTATCAAATATCCCTAGTGGCTGTTGTAAAACACAAGGCTCCGAATTTCTGCAAAAACAATGTGTCAGATATGATGTTTTTTGTTCCCTTGACATCTCTTTCAGCCACTTCCAAAGTGACCAAAATAGAAATATGGAACAGTTTAGCAATTTTCTTACAGAGCTCATTGCCCTTCCAAATAGTATGTAAGATAATAAAACTTTCAACTTTTTTATCTTTTTCGAAGGAGAACGATCTTCCCCGATGTATCAAAACAAACATTGAAGTGCAGATAAATAGACAAGTATTGTTGGAAGCGTTAAGTTAGCATCAATTTTGAGCTATATCATATGATCTGAAGGATCTAGAAAAATGTAGTTTATTATGAATGACAAACGAAGCTGTGTAATTATATTTATTAAATTAAAAAAAAAAGATTATTCTTCACTCGAAAAATAGGATGCTGCTGAAGATTATACTTTCACTTCCAAAACGGTTTTCCCTTTTTCTTTTTATATGGGCTCAAATCGTCACTATTCTCGTAATTTTTTGTTTTTTTTTATTCGTGATTGCAATCATAACAAACTGTACAAGAAAATGATTTGGGCAATGTGCAGTGAACAATGGTTAGTATGGAGAAGGGCTACATCATTTCATTTGAATATGAATCAAAGTGGCCTCTAACGATATGCAAACCGAGAATTCAAGTTGATACGCTGATTTCAAATCTGCTTTGTCATTTTTGGAGCGTTTTCGTGATAGAAGTTAAGTTTCTCACAACAACATGAATCTTCAATGTTGTTTGGAAGCACTAAATTAGTTTAGGTAGGCAATGCATGAAATCATTTTTTAGAGGGAGTTGATATTATCATAAATTTACATTCCTGAGGTCACATAAAATGAA